TAATCATGTTCGTAGTCATTCCGTCACCAATGAAGAGAACAATGTTCTTCGCCTTGCGTTCCTCAGCCAGATCGCGAACCAGCCAGGTGGCTTCCGTCTTGCTGCCGTTGTTGTAGCTGAGAGTAGCAGTGTACTCGCCAGGCTCGTAAAGAGCAATGCGGCGGTACGCCTTGGCTGCGACATTGACGAGGGACGGCTTTTTCGCGTCGCGAGCGAACAGGTCTTCGTACCATGTAAAGTTCCAATTCTCCAGTTTTGGTTCTTCGAGGTTGAAGAACTCTGTCACTGGTTTGGCCTCTTCGCCCTTCTTTCCAAGAGTGAAGGTAAATTGCTCATCCAGAGGTAGACCGATGAACTCGGATCCATTTCTGGGCTGGTGAACCTCCAGACGGATATCAAAGTACTGGCCAGCGAGAAAGTCGGCCCTGGATTATTGTTTAGCAATTGTGTATCCTAACCTCATACCATTTGCATGCTTACTGGTCAGGAGGGAAAACGCAACCAAGCGTTGGGCAAGCTCCCAGACGGCGGAAAGTCTGCGCGGAGACAGATCCCACCAAAAGGGCCGCAGCCACGACAGCTGAGCAAGTACACTTCATAGCGAACGCGATTGAGAGTTCGGTAATTGGGCAAGGCTCTCAAAAGTGCGATGAACCAGCATCTTGGGAAGCTGTTCTCCCAACCTTTATAAGCATGCAGAGCTCCCCGGACCTGCATACATGCAACCAGGTAAATAAGACTATATCCCGCATATCAGGCTACTAGGATCCACATGTAATGCCAGCGGCATGTCTTCCTATGCAGTACAAAGCGCGTTCAGGTGCGTTTACCCGTCCCTCGTGCGATAACGCAGCGCTCTTACTGCTCGAGAAGACGACTCCAGCTACCTGGACCCAGTCCGCATTCCGCTGGCTTGGTCCGCGCCATGAGCCACTGTCATCATTAAGAATCTTAACGAGCTGCCGGATTGAGGTAGACATGCACGCTTCTGCCAATTGTTGGAGGGCTGGAGGATGAGGGCTTGGCGTGGCTTGGTCTCACTTGGCATCACGTTCCGGACAGCTGTAGTCTGATTCGCTGTGTAATGGTTCTTTCGTGGGATCCAAAGTCGGTTTCTCCGTAGATTTCTCCTTGGCAATGGGGTATTGGGAGCGGCTGGGAATTTCGATGCACGCTGTGTGCTCCGCACGGCGTAATCTTATTCGCCATAAGAGTGGCGGCCGGCGACACGACTCGAAAAAGCTTTGCTAGCCTGGCTCGTCAACGGATATGGTGCCAGCGAAGTTGAGGAAGACAGCCCTGGGATGGTTCGACCGCAATTCCAAGATCCAGGCAGGTCTGGCGTCACGTGCCAGCAATCGGGCACCGTGCCCAGCTGGTATGGTTCGACCGCCGTCATCCTGTCAAACCAACAAAACTCCAAATTGACCGCTTCGTCCATTCCTTATCTATCGAGCGCATCCGAGCGGAACCACCTCGGTCGCATTGACATTGCGCAACAGCAATGTAGCTTGTCGCGTGCTCACATCCACAGTCGCCGTTCGGAAACCCCTGCCCAGGCATGCTATGGACCAAATGCAGCCCTATGGAGAGCACAGAAACCCCAGAAAGCGGCTATAGATCGCGACACGCAGCGGGAACCAAGGATCTTTCCCAGATCTCGCGTCCGAAACGACGATAGCCATGCCTTCGATTGGTGTTCGACGCCAGGTGTCCATCAGGGTAACGCCTTGATCGGCTCTAGTTGGGTGGTCCGCCGACGTCACCACTTACCCTTTGATCTAAGGTTTATTGATGATCAGGTACATAGACACCGCTAGGCGCATAGCGCATCTTTAATGTTTTACTCCAAACGCGTCTTTTTATCGCAAACTCTCCGTGGGCCGTCAGGTACTCGACTTGGACGTGGTAGTGCCGAAGTACAGCTACCGATCCGCACGTTTCGACACGCGACACCTTTCCTAGGTAGAGCATCGCCGAAGAATTCCGCGAAGCCGAACAAATCGCAGTCGCCTACGAAAATGTCCAAGAGAACATCATACGAACGCTCCGAACTCGGACACACAACTCTCAAGCGCGCAAAACAGATAGACGGTAAGTTATGATTGAACAGAATGCAGGTGAGACATACGTTGATTCCGTACCCCAGAGGATCTGCCATACGATCAAGTTCAGGAAGCTCTCGGCGCGCAAGATGAGATCAAGGACGTGACTAAAGTAGCGCATTGGTTCCGCCCCAAAGACCTTCGCATTCAAGACAATACCGCGCTGCATAATGCTTCCGAGCTTGCCCAAAGCGCGAAGAAACCTTTAGTATGTTTCTACATCAACTGCGCTGCGGACGAATCATGGCACGGGACCAGCCCTGCAAGAGTGGACTTTATGTGTGAGGGGTTGCGCATCATGCAGAAAGAGCTGAAGGAATTGAACATACCGCTAGTCTTCCTGGAATGCAAGGACAGAAAGAAGATTGTGGAAACAGCAGTGGAGTGGTTGAAGAAGCAAGAGATTTCACATGTGTTTGGCAACTTCGAATATGAGATTGACGAGATGCGGAGAGATCTGAAGCTCTGCAAAACAGCTGGCGACGGTATCCAAGTCTCGTTGTACCATGACCAGACAGTTGTCGAACCGGGCACAATGCTCACAGGCACCGGGACACCGATGAAGGTCTTTACGCCATTTTTCAAAGCCTGGCTTGAGAAGCTAAAGGACGAGCCAGAGCTGCTTGACACCAACCCTCCGCTTGCCGCGAATCCATCGTCTGCAAAGAAGGAACTCAAGGATTTGTTCGATACACCTGCACCAGAACCAGCAAAAGATAAGCTATTCGAGTCGGAAGAAGACAAGAAGAGGATACGAAAATTGTGGCCTGCCGGTCATGCTGCAGGAGCAAAACGCATGGATGCATTCCTCAAGCAGATTGATCACTACGCCGCCACACGGTCCAATCCTGCCGCCAACAGCACATCTCGCATGTCCGCCTATTTCAGCGCGGGTATGTTTTCCGTGCGCGAAGCATTGCAGAAGGTCGTGGACTACAACCGCGGCAGTACCGATTTCACCGAAGCCAAAGCATCTAACGGCGTGTACGGCTGGGTCCGAGAAATCGTCTTTAGAGAACTGTACAGACAGACTACCCTGACGACACCCCACACCTCGATGAATTTGCCGCAAAATCTCAAGTTCGACGCAGTAGAATGGGAAGACGACGAAGAAGGCTGGGAAAAATGGTACAAAGGCGAAACAGGCGAACCTTTCATTGACGCTGGAATGCGCCAACTTAACGCCGAAGCATACATGCACAACCGGCTACGTATGAATGTCTCATCTTACCTTTACTGCAATCTCCTCCTCGACTACCGCCGCGGCGAACGATACTTTGCCGAAACCCTCATCGATTGGGACCTTTCCAACAACACTCAAGGCTGGGAGCCTTCATACACAGTCTTCAACCCTGTTTCTCAGGCCGAGAGGAACGATCCTGATGGTGATTACATTCGGAAATGGGTGCCGGAACTCAAAGATGTCCAGGGCAAAGCGGTTTTTGCTCCCTATGCGAGGTTATCGAAGAGCGAATTCGAGAAGTTGGGATACCCGAAACCGCATGTGGATTGGAAGGAGACGAAGGCTAGGGCGTTGGATAGGTTTAAGAGGGGGTTGAGGAACGCGGATGTTTAGCCGGGCTAGACGAGGGGGTTATGGCTGGATGATACCATACTGGTTGCTTAGAATAATGCAGAATCATTGATATATCATACGTCTCCAACTTTCTTCCTTTTTCTTCTTGTTTACACCAACTTGCCGCTGCCTAAGCTTCTATCGAAATAAACCGAATCGTAATTGCTGCGTTCGTCCATTGGTGAGCTACAGTCCTGCACTCTACCACTGAGTTACCAGCCCATCTAATGAATGATGAAAGAATCTGGAGTTTGCAATGATATATATCACAATGTGTTCTATATCGTTCGCTCATGCGTTCGGTTCATCGGTCTTACCCTGTACATGTGGGGCTTGCTCAACATTCCACACTAGTGTTGCCGCCTAATCCAGTACCCCGTTTTCTCCCTCATCACAGCCTACTGTTCATAAGGGTCATGATACTTTCTTTACGAGATGCAAGTGGCTGGAAGATTCCATGCATTAGGCATCGCCATGTGTGGTGTGTGTGCCAAGCACTGCGGGGTTGAAGGCTGAGTTGCATATGCATAGCCTGCTTTTGTCCTCAGCCTGCTGGACTTTTGAGCCGTCCCAACTCCCCTCTTCTTTTTCGGGAAGCTTTCAGCCGTCTATTGCTCATTCGAACGACTTCTAGAGAAATTTCATGGGCTCCTTTCGTAACTTTCACGCTTCAGCTTCGAATCTTCTCTTTTGATCACAAGTGGTACCTATCGTACCTACTTGGGCAGGCGCCCCTTTTGGCCTCGGCTGATCTTCCAGCACAGCTACAGCCTGCTCTCCTGGTTCCGACAATACGCAACAACCTTCACTCGACCCGCAAAGCCTTTGAGTGTCGTGTCTACAGCTTTTCTTTAAGGACAGGTGCTAAGATGCTATAGTACTATCGCTATAATTCTATATACATCCCGCACATATCCTCTCGAATCAATTCTACGATTCGTACACCCAACCTGTTTCTGCCACCAATGGAGCAAATTCGATATGAACCATTAAATTATGATCGCAAGAGCACTCGCTTGGCTTGTCTTATGGCAGGCAGGATTAGCGTTATCCAAATTCTCCTTTTTCCAATATTTCTGGATGAGGATGATGAGGATGGTGAGAATAATTGCATTCCGTATGAGGCCTTGTCGTACTCATGCGGGTCTGGAGACACAAGCCACACAATATATGTCAACGGACGGCAATTCACAGTTGGATGGAATCTATATTCAGCGCTACTAAGCTTACGTTCTGAAAACAAAGACCGAAACCTGTGGATTGACGCGATTTCCATCGACCAGTCCAATGTTTTGGAGCGGAACTTCCAAGTGCAACAAATGTCAACTATATATAAGAGAGCTGAGCAAGTGATCTTCTGGTTGGGTGAATCCACGCCTGAAACAGATGTGGTCTTCGATGCAATGCAACGTTTAGAAAAAGTGGAAAAAGAAGCCCAGAAAAATCCGTGGGAGATTCGGAAGTCCTCAGCAGACAGACGGTGGCTGGAGCTTTGGCCCACTGTTGGAAATGCAAATGAAGATTCTATCCTGGAACAACGCAAGGGTTTAGAGAACATTCTGTCTCGACCCTGGTTCACAAGAGCATGGACCATTCTGGAAGTCGTCAACGCACAGTCTGCTGAAGTGGCATGCGGCTGGAAAACAGTATCAGCTCCCACATTTGTGGTCGCGCCATCTCTGCTAGGTGTGACACCCGATTTCCACTGTCAAGCAGTCATGGATATCATGCCAGGACCCGGGCGGAACCACTCCTGGTGGACGAAGGACCCAGATCTCAAAACAATTCTACTGAAGTTCAAGGGGTGTCAGGCGGCCGACCCCAGGGACAGGATCTATGCATTGGTTGGTCTCTGTCGAGACACACATACTGAAGCACTGCATCTAGACTATACAAATTCTCTAGCAGAGGTTATCCAAGACACTGTTGCGGCTTTACTAAGGATCGACAACGGCTGGAAATCTACATGTCTCTTACCTGAGTGGAATCTGTCGGAGTTCTACAAGAACTTGCCTTCACTAGTCGACAAAGTTAGTAGGTGGGCCATCAAAGAAGGTCAAACTACCACCTTAGAGACTATCATGCACCGAAATAATGTCCACGTTGTCGGGGGTAGTTTTGGTCCTGAGAGTCTCTTATGGGAGGCCATAGGGCATCCCCGTACAGCGATCGTGCAGTTGCTCTTCGAGATGGGCGCAGACGTGGACTTTCGCAACGAAGAGTCGTGCGAGGCGCTCGTTCTCGCTGTTTGGAATGGTCACAGGCAAACAGTAAAGCTGTTACTCGAAAGATTCACCAAAGATGATAGAAGCGGGGATGATTACAACAACATCCTTCGTCATGCAGATATTCGAGAGCTACTACCCGAAGCAGGCGACAATTCTCATGTTCTCAGAAGAAAGAACGTCGATGGATCTCAGGTGACCTCGGCTGATGACAGCATCAGCTCTACAAAGAACAGTCATACATATGTCAATTCGACTAGTGATCGAGAAGAATGGGATGACATGACAAAAGTCAATCTGGGAGGATCCCACCGAGTTCTCGATACTCGGGTCCAGCAACAGAAGTTCCAAGACGTCGATGTTCAGTCGCTCGTTTCCGAAGAGGGCGACACGGCCTCCAGCGCCTCAATGCCTTTGCCATTTTGGGCTAGCGAGACGGAACTTATAATCATCGGTGTTTTTGCTAAGAGCTCCGTTCTTTCTCCATTGTACTCAAAGGCGCTGCAACTCATGCCCGAAGAACGATTTATCAACAACTTCAGACGTTTACTGAAGGCTTTCTATGGAAATCTCGTAGCATCCGACAATTCAAATGTCACACGCCAGCTTGCAAAACTTTTGAGGTCTAAGCAACGCCAAAGTAGGATTGCCAGGATGGTCATAGCCCGACACGTAGCTCCGCAAAGCTCTTGGAATGAGGAAGAGCTTGCCAATTTACGTGATCAGGAGAAGCAAGCCTATACAAACGTGGAAAGTTGGCTTGATAGGACCATCGTCTCCTCTACCATTATCGATACTCAGGCGGTCCACTCAGCAGACACAAGTAAGGAGTATGAGAGTGATGACGACAGTGATTCCGAGTCAGATGGGGAAGAGAACATATCTCATTTTGCCCAGTATCCGAGATTAGACCTTGCTGTTCAGAAGCTTGTGGAAGGACAACCTTTCCAAGATATGTTGGCCAGCTTTAAAGAGCTTCTCTTGCCACCTGGACTTCTGAAAGAGCTGTTACCAATACCAAGAGACAAAATCACTTATGTAACAATAACAGAAGTTGGTCTTCTGTCAAAAGTTCAGGGATTTCTCGAGGAGATCACCGCATTGGAATGGGATTGGTGGCCACTATCGCCTAGAATGAGACTACTGAAACCCAGTGAAACGCGTGTTCATTGGGAGTGTGTAAGTCTATCACTTCTACGCAAAGCTCGACACTAACTGGAAAGTTTTGTGGAATGCACCGATGGAGAGAACTGAGACTGGAGCAACAAGAGATTTTAGACGAGGTTCTCAACGAGTCTTCTGCCGACAATCATCCTCGACCACTTTGTGCTTTACTCCGAGATACGAAGAGCACTTCCTGTTTGGAGACATCTGGTCCATTTCGAGGCTCGCGAATGCGTATAATACGCCTTGCGGTTTTTAACTGTAGCTTGATTGTTATGACAATGGCCTTTGTTTGGTTCTCTAGGGATCTCCCGGTTGGATGGCGTTGGTGTTGTCTCACGGTAGAATGCTTCGTCTGGGTCGTTGTTGCTTCTCAAAATCCAGCCAGTCAAGCAAATCGAAATATCACCTCTGGTGCTCACAGTTCTGCACCTTCCAGCGGAGCTGGCCCATCACTTGGAACTCAGGCGATACAGTCATCACCCGGGAGTAGTGCAGCTAGTGCTACTTCACAAGCAGCTAGTGCTACTTCACAAGCAGGAGGAAATATATCTATACAGCCTACATCCGCGAATTCTCAGACCACCCAAAGCTCCTTAGTAAACAACTCAGCATACAACAAGCAGCTCTGGGTGAATTTTGGAGTGGATGGCTCATGGACCTCAACGGAGCTAGATCAACTTGGTGGTCTTCACTTGGTAAGCGATGCTGCCTTCTTACGAAACCTTAGCAGAAGACATCATGAGATAAGGGGTTGGTTCCGTCACTACTTCTCATTCCGCATCATAAGCTACTGGGAATTTCTCCGGTTCAAAAGACTGCCACTACTTCCTCCTCAGACTATCGATGTTGAGGCGGATTTACCCACATCTAGCGACTACGAATATGATCCGAGGCCGCCGCGCGCGACAAGAGATAAACCTGGCATTACCAAGCACGAGTTCGAGGTCTATGTACGACTTTGCTTGGATCCCTGCTGGTTGTCATCGCTGCTCATCCCACACAAGTGCCGCACAGTAGGAGATTCCGCTGTTGATATCGTCGATAAGATTCCAAAGTACAAGAAGCTTTTGGAACAGCGCGCCCAAGGAGACGAGCACGTTTGGGGTATAAGAGCGAGATATGTTGTGTCTGGTGTTCGTGTGGTTGCGCTTCACATTGCTATTCTTTGCATCTCTTTTGGCGTGTGGATCTGGTGGCAATGGAAGCATCCGGATGACCTCCAAGGAGCCGCAGTTGCGCTCACAGCTGCATTTCTGCTCATATCTACATTTTGGAGTGCGACTGGTGTTCTTAGGGATTTACGCTAGCTTCGCAGGAGTTTATCTGGACGTACGCAATCTTCAAAAATCTGCTATTCCTTGATGATTCGCCTTAGACACATACATCAGCATCGATGATCTTGCGCTCTTTTGCTCCACGCTGTTATAGACGATAGCTTCGAGTTGTTATCCACACCTGTCAACTTCATGTTCGCAAGCGGTGTCTACATGTTCGTGACATGGTTGTTCATACAGCTAACCTACAGGCCTTCGTCCATGGTATAGTACAAGTCCACTCCTATCATATTCATACACTGTAGTTCTGCACCTCCGCTTGCAACCGATGCACCCCGCGCTCGCTTCTCAGGAGCATTTGTATGCAAGCCACACACCCCCGTTGTGTTTGTCCCTTCAGTTTTCCGCTCATGTCGTCCAGTGATCTACTCCCATCTCATCTCCTTCTTCAACGGCTTCTCCCAGTCCTTGATGTGATCCGAAATGACCTTGGCGGCCTGGTCAGCGGTGAAATTGCGTCCGATCGCCTCGACGAAATCGCCTTCTGGATCTGTTTTACGTCTGTTAGTCCAGAACTCTTGCGCTACATATACAACATAACATACCCATCAGATAGAAGTAAATGCTGTGATCAACCAGGTAGTCCTGACCGGGCTTGGTATCCTTGGGTGTGCTAAAGTACACCCTATACGCCTTGCAAGTATCCTTGATCTGCTCGTGGTTGCCCGTCAACCCAATGAAATCAGGGTGGAACTCGGCCAAGTATTCCTTGAGTACGCTCGGGTTGTCGCGCGCGGGGTCGCATGTGATCATGATGGGGAGAAGGACGTTTCCGCATTCGGCGACGACTTTGTCGTACATGAGGGCCATTTTGTCGAGTTCGTCGGGGCAGATGTCGGGGCAGTGGGTGAAGCCGAAGTAGACCTGTAATACTACTGTCAGTATGGGAGCTTAGAGGGGAGTGGGGGTGTTGTCGTACCAGAGAGTATTTGCCTAGCATGTCCTCGTTGCTAAAGGGCTTGCCGTTGTGGTCTACGAGGTGGAATGGTCCGCCTACTTTGGGCTTGCCAATGCCTTTTGTTTGCTCTGCTATCCGCTTTCGTGCCATGCGCTCTTTCTCGTATGTGAAGTAAGCCCATAGTCCTCCACCGGCTGCGACGAAGAGGATCGCGGCTGTGAGGTTGAATGGCTGGAGATATCGTCAGCTTCGAATTATATGCCCAAATTTCTACCATCTCATCTATGGCCCTTCAGACAGCTAAACATACCCCGCCCTTGTTTCTTGCCCGGATCTGATCTATCGTCTTGAGCTTGCTCCGCGATGCCGATTGCGAGAAATTTCTTGTCTGACTCTGGCAGCTAGTCTCTGCCTTCCCAGATGCGTTCCGTGCTGTCTGTAATTGCCTCAGACATGTTGTGTTTGCCGCCGCTACTTTCCGCGATGATGCGGCCGGACTCGATGTGCTAGAGGCGAATGTTCGATACGTGATGCGCGCCGCTTGTGGGTTTTGGATACTTCTCGTGGCCGTGGCCATACATCTGGTTGGTGCAGCCATTTGGGTGGTATCGTTGGAGAGTGTATGACGACGTGGTGTTGCGAATTGGTGTTCCGGGAGACTTTTCTCATGATTCGAGATGCGAACTCGCCGCGCTCGGGCCAACCTCGACTGACATCTTGCTCACTTGCTTACATGTACATCTCCGCCTCAACGCGTCACCGAGAAAGCCTATCTATCGACTTTATACACGGCATTACATGGTTTAGTTGGAATCACAACCTATTCTCATGTCTTAGTAGGCCAACGCCTTATAGAATAGTCATCACGTTCGTTGTCAGCCTATCTGTTCAACAGCTTCATCACCCAGCCCAGAACAGGGCGGACTTATTCAACCTTCTGAGCAGTTTTCTCGGATTATGCTCCAGAATGAATGAGTACTGCAATCCATCGAGACGATAACAAGTCAGGCTGTTAAGCCGAGGTTCGACGACAACATGTTTACCTCAAGCGAAACTATTCCTTGTAATGCAGCAGATGAATTAATCATTGTTACACCCGCCTTTGTCTGCATTCCAAACTAGACCAAAACAATTGCTAAACCACCGAGACTTCGACATAGCGAGATGCATGAAAACAACATTGAGTGTCACTAGAAGTAGGAAGGCATCTACGATAGGCTAGGATCATTTGACTATACTAGACAAGGGTGATATCGCAGGCCTTGTAGTCTTTTCTCATGGATTCGAACTTGACTTCTGCAAGATAATCAAACATTCCGATGCGCTCATACGCACCTACGCAAGTGGCTGACCGCCCGAGTAGGAGTCCCGTTACACCCCAGCTATATCTAAAAATCGGAAGAAGCATTACTGGGTAAGGTCCGCCTGAGCTGTCTTCCTGTTTCCCCTTTCGCCTCGTTGTACTCTCTTCAGTTCCATCCATAAGTCGAACATCCGTCCGAACAATAGGTGTATCTATGTAGGAAATCGTACCGGAAACATTGTGCCGCAAAGTCGATAGCTTGGTACCCTCCCAGAGACCTTCTGGTGAAGGACCAGCTTCGAGCGATGCCGAGATTAATATACCCGCCAAGTGTATTGTGCCAGACGAGACGGGACCGTACGGATTAGTCGTCGAAGGCGTTACTTCTGTTTGCACGTTGTAGACTAGTATTTCTTCTGCAGCGTGATTTGACATAACGGTAGGATCGAAATCGATCGCATGAGGCAATTCCAACGACATCCAACTCCAGGTAGGGGCAAAAAAGGTGGATGGACATCCCGGCGGTTTAGAGAACCATAATAACATTTTGCAGAGATCTTCTTTCCACAAGCCAGCGAGATATGTACCTTGGTATCGTGAATGGAACCGAGCGGCAAGAGCTGAAATTGCGACTGGTGTGTCCGTCATCCTCGTCAGTAATCTCCGGCAATATGGATATACAACACGAGTACTCCAAAGCTGTGCAAAAGCTTGTGGGTTGGTGGTATCCATCCTGGCCCCAAAACTGCCTTCCAATTGTGAGTTCAAATCGCTGTCGAGGTTATTCCCGTGATGCTCGCAGCAAGAAGACTCTTTGCATTCCCAACTCATCTCCCAGTTGCCGTACGCGAGGAAACGACGAGCACACAATCTCTCTTGTAGAGTCCATCCCCGCTTGTGCAACGGCTCCTCGATGAAGTCATGCGAATCGGGCACTATTCTGTAGATGAATGAAGTTCTGCTTCCTTTCACATCTAGACTAATTGTTCTTTCACAGGATTGCCTTGGTTTTCGGAGAAACCCTTCATTTGCTGTTCCCGCTGCAACACCAGCCAAGACCAGCTCGGCATTGCTGTATATGCTCGCCATTTTACTTGATTGCTGCTCCCAATCCAAGGCGTCGTCTTGGACAATGCATAAACTATCAATCCAGATATGCGAAAATCCAAGCGCTCGAGTGATATATATGGCATCCGAGAATGTCCGGGGAAGATCATTGGCAGGAATTTGCTCCCGGAAGCCAGCCAGAGATTTCAACGTGGTTTTGAGTGGTTGCGAACCGCCCCAGCAGTGGCTGAGCGCAACATAGGAGCCCCGGGTCGACTCCTCTGGATTTAGCACAAGCTTAATGACATCGCCCCGGAGTTCGACAAGCCGAGAGGGACCAGCTGTATCAAACTTCTCATCGCACCGCCGATGCCCATTCTGACAGGTCGACAACCATTGTTTTGCCAAACTCAGGCACGCAGGATCTATGGCTTGCCGAGGGATCGGCTTGTATCTCTCTAAGAGAATGGGAAGACCAGAATCTGCGGTGTTGGTTTGGGAGAACATATCTATCGAAAGGGCTAGCTTTACCTTCTAGATATATGGCGATCGTTGCATACACGCCGCGATGAACAGTATGCGGTAACTTGGAGAGTATGTTGACCAAATGTAGGAAGTACTGTCCGTCTGTAGTAAGTCCAATCTTTACATATCCTGACCTATAACATCTATATTGCTGTCCTGCATCCGCCCAAACCGAGGCTATAAGGCGACAAAATAGGCAGCCATTTGCTGCACCTTCTTCCCAATATCTCTGTGCCTCTTCCTGATTGAAGTATTCGACCACCGACTTCAAGTCCAGATCGTCTGCAGAGAGGTCGCTGTTACAATTAGAACATCGCTTGGCCATGTCCGTGGGCATTATCGAAGGCGCAGGGCGTGTGAAAGCGACGTGTTCGCTACCCTCATACTGCATAGCTATCGATCGTGTCGCGATGATGCAAGAGAATGAATTAGACAGGAAGAATAAACGAATTGGGAGGAACAAATTAGATAAGCTTCTGTGATGTTTGTATCGCGAACGTTTTGTCGTGTCGGAAGGTAGGATAGAAGACGTCAGGCTGAGGCAGAAGCTGAGCTAACATGCTAAACCCGCATGCTGCGTGATGAGTTGGCTGCGCGAACCCAGCCAATATAAACCTGATTTACGCGCCCTCCCCTGTACACTAGTAACAGCGCTATACACTCTGTTAAGAAGAAAAACTACACAGTTCTTGAAGCACCCCTTACCCCGCCCTACTATAGCGATATATGGTGAGAGCAATGGATATATACATAAAGAATCCAGAAGCCTACAATGCTTCTAGGCACTTTAGGTTTTCTCTTCAGAAGTTAATGTAGGCTGCAAGGTAAGGCCTCACATCTATATACTTATTTTGTTTTCCTCTTGTATGCGGTAACAGAGGACCATGTTATCTTACCTAATACCAATGGCCTTCAAGAGCTTTTCTTTCTGTGTATTTCCAATCGCGCCTTCTGTTTCAACGTCCTTTACGACCTCGCTCATACTCTCCACCTCTATGACGCCCATACCATGAGCAAAGTGCCATAACTCTTCATCTTCATACCGTACCTGGAATGCTTGCCAGTTCTTTGCTTTTAGATCGTTGACATGTTCTGTGACAGCTATCGATGGACCAGAGTAGACGAGAACACCGGGATAACCAGGCTTAGTGATTCCACATACAGGAGGCGTCGCTGCTGGAGGTAAGAGAGCAATCTTGCGTTTATTGGTGTTCAGAAGATGGTGCAGCCAGACGATGACAGTTTTCGAGGTGCTGCCGTGGGCGCCTGCCGTTGCGTCGCTATTCACTGAGGCCGCATTTGATATGGCAGGAATAGATTCGATAATTTGCTGAAAAGCGGCGACGATGGCATCAAGCGCTTCCTCTCCTTCAGCGAGCCCAACGTCCTTGACCGCGACTTTTACACGTGTCCGCAAGTCGTTCTTTGCTGCGTCAGTCGCAGAGATGATGTCCGGCAATCCTAATTCCGGATACGACTCCGGTAACCGAAGAAGGAGCGATGCATGGTTGTCGTGTGAGAACTTTAACTCCCGTGACTTGGGGTCATAGTGCGTCTGATCGGGATACATGGCCTCTAACAGCTCGAGCTCGGTTTCAAGGCGGGTGGGTCCATGGTCTGACATGGTAGATGCAAATGCAGCTGGAAGTTGGCGAAACGGAAAATTCTACTGTATGCTTTTGTTCGGCAACGGTGGTCAGGGGATTGAAAGTATCTGGCGTATAACCTGCTTTTGTTGCAAATCAAGAGGCACTGAGTGGACCGGTGTATCAAGTGATGCTTCGTATTAGGATAGTGTGGATGGATGTATTGGCCTCTTCTTCTCAGGATCGCGATCTTCAAGTCTAGGCCCGTGCATAGTGTCCTGGATGACATGGGGACCAAAACAATGGGTCAGTAGTTCGTGCCGCATAAATGATAAGAAACGTAGCTCGTTGTTGGATGCATAAGTGGCGCTGGAAGAGGCCCATATCTCGCTTGTGTCTCATCTTTTAGCCCGCTGCTGTCACCGGGGTGATGAAGGGGAGGGATGTCAACAATCTTGCTTCGCGGCGGCTACATGAACAGGTAGAGTGCTCGTCCAACAGCAACAAAGCTGTGCGCAGGAATTAACGCCTCAAGACGCGTCCCTGCTGCAAGATACACCCGCTTTATAAAGAGGGCGTCGTGCCCGGCGCATCCGACCGTGAAACTAAAACCAATAAGCTTTCCTGATCGAGCTAGCAGGCGACGCGGAGTTCGCGCGCTACTGGGCTCGTGTGCAGGCCGCCCAGAGAGGTGCTAACCACCCCCAAGACGCATCAATTACCTCAAAGACTATCTCGAGAGATCTGCACGCTCCCAAAGAAAACATTGCACCCCAGACCCGAAACCATATCCGCTGCCATCCTCTCGTGAACACTCACAAACCATCTTCTGCAATCAGCACCCACGGCACCCTCTCTGCAGCGACGCAATCATAGTCTTACACCAACAAACCAGCAATTTACGCATACCTCCACGTACACGCTTCCATACGACTGCCGATTCAGAACCTCGATTCTTGAAAGGGCCCATGAGCCGTAGCCTCGCCGAAAATGAAGGCTGCTCCGCTTTTGGTGTCCTGGCACAACGAGAACGCTCCCATATACTCAGCTCACTTTGAGCCGCACGGCAAGGGACGTCTGGCAACAGCTGGCGGAGACAACAATGTCCGGGTGCGTCGGCATGAACATATCAACGACCTGGACTTGCGCTAATATATACAACAGCTTTGGAATGTCGAGACACATGGTGAAGAGCGCAGGGTCACCTATCTGTCAACCCTCGTAAAGCACACACAGGCCGTGAATGTGGTACGATGGTGTCCACGAGGTACTTTGCTTCTGCATATGCAAACAAGAACAGTAACTAATCTCTTATAGGCGAAATGCTCGCGAGCGCCGGCGACGATGGCAACGTCCTGCTGTGGGTTCCAGCTGAGAACCAGACCACGCACAACTTCGAAGAGGGTCTCGAAGACAAGGAGACATGGCGGGTCAAGGCCATGTGCAGGTCTATAGGCTCTGAGATTTACGACCTTGCCTGGTCTCCAGACGGCGTCTTCTTCATCACAGGAAGTATGGACAACATTGCCCGCATATACAACGCTCAAACTGGTACGACATCTGCCCTGGTACCACCTGTCCGATAGTTGCTCAATAATCTCTAGGAAGCATTGTACGCCAGATCGCCGAGCACAACCACTACGTTCAAGGCGTGGCATGGGATCCCATGAACGAATACATCGCAACCCAGTCGTCCGATCGATCCGTGCACATCTACACCCTGAAGAACAAGGACGGTCAATTCTCGTTGGCACAGCACAGCAAGGTCACCAAGATGGACCTACCCGCGCGACGTGTGTCCTCGAATAGTCCTGCACCTCCAGACTTCGGCGGCCGAGCGTCCTTCGTTGCCGACTCAATGGCCATCGGCTCGCCGGTGCCGTCAATGCCTGGCACACCGCAATCACTGGCCCTCCCGACCATGCATCCGCCGCCAACTTCACACAGTCGTCGTTCGTCCTTCGGCTCCTCCCCATCGATGCGCCGCTCCGCCTCACCCGCTCCCTCAATGCCATTACCAGCGGTCATGCCCAATTCCCCCAGTATCAGCAGTATCGGCACGATTGGGGTTCGCAATGCACCCATCTACTTCAACGAAACCTTGACCTCGTTCTTCCGACGCCTTACATTCGCCCCCGATGGCAGCTTGCTGTTCACGCCTGCGGGTCAGTACAAAGCGATACACCCGTCAATTGGCGAAGCGAAACCAGCCGAGGACATTACCAACACAGTGTACATATATACCCGTGCAGGGTTGAACAAGCCCCCGGTCGCATATCTTCCGGGTCACAAGAAGCCATCGGTTGCTGTCCGTTGCTCGCCGGTGTACTATACCCTACGCCAGACTGTTCCACCAACAAGGCAGATCACCATCGATACTTCGAACATGGACGACGAGATTCCTTCCTTGCCCGAGCCAGTCATGCCTTCGAAACCTCCTACGTCCCATTCATCCATGGATCCTCCGCCCATCACAAGTGCACCTTCTCCTTCCCCAAGCCTCTCAGCACCGTCACCAAAGCCCACCGATGGCGAAGCTTCTTCCCAATCTGGGGTGCCAGCCGGGCCCCCATCAGCTTTCACTCTCCCATATCGAATGATTTATGCCGTTGCGACACAAGATGCTATTCACATTTATGATACGCAGCAACAAAAGCCACTGTGCATTGTCAGCAATCTGCACTTTGCTACTTTTACTGATATTACTTGGTAAGTGATTGAGAAGAATATCAGCCTGTGACGCGACTGACATGATCATAGGTCCAATGATGGCTCTATGCTGCTGATGACCTCCTCTGATGGCTTTTGTTCATCGGTCACGTTTGCTCCTGGCGAACTTGGAGAGAAGTACACTGGACCGCTAGCTGTCCATAGTCGACCACAGCAGACACCTGCTGCGATCAATACCACAGGGGGCCACGCATCGAACAACTCTACCCCAACCCCCACACCAACGACTGGAAGCATGTCAGCTACTGCGACCGCTACTGCGCCACCTATGCAGAGGCAACCATCTGCAGGCTTCCCAGCCTCTCCGAGCTCGTTCGTCCCTGCAAGACCTGGCAGCCCTACAAGGAGCAACTCTGTTTCCAGCATTGCTACTGCTTCGTCCTTTGCTCCAGGTGCAGGTGACCAGAGCAACATGAACGCCCCAACCCCAGCTATGTCGTCTGTCCCTAGTATAGCTGCCGCCAATTCTGGGCCTGTACCAATGTGGACGCCACCCCTTACGCCAGCTCATGGACAAGGCGCGACTCACAGTGCAAGCAGCTCAGTCAGTGGCATACCCAACATCGGCCAGGTCGGACGAAGAGAAAGCGAAATGAGCGAGTCTGACCGCGACGATGTATCTTCAACCTCGAAGAAGCGAGAGTTGCACGCGGTGCCAGAACCGGACGTAGATGCGCGAGAGAGTAAGAGACGACGAATTGCGCCAACACCAATTACAATGATGGCGGAGGGCGACAGTGCAATTGCCAGCACCGAAGAAGATACCCCCACGCAGACGCCAGGCCAGCAGTAGGCTTTTCATATTGTTCAACTGTTCCTCCGATTTGATGGTTGCGTATACCTTCTTTTAAGCATGGCGTTTAGGATATTAGGGTTTCACCCACGGCGATATTATGTACAGGGCTTTTCTTCTGCCTGATCATATACTAGCAGGGTGTGTTTATCATCCGACTGCACGATGATACGTGCGATTCATGGTTTAAAAGATAGGTCACAATCAATGCAGGTATATTCAAGTAGAGCCACACTCCCTTGGCGGCATGTGCATTCTTCGTCTACATTTTTATTCTCCCAATCAACCTCTCTGACGTCGGCACCTCTGTCGCATGTAGCCGATCTCCGTATTCAATCACCTCGCGCGCTCATCTCCACATACACACACACCCGACATCCGATTGTACAAGCCGTTTACGTTGCAAACACCTTCCCACAGTGGTATCGGTATCGCTAGCAACGCAACCCCCCAAGAGATTCCAAGAGATTATCCCCTGTCACGACCAGCCCGCTTACCATGTCAGCCAATCACAGTCCAGCCATGAGCTTAGCAACCGGCTTCCTTGATTTGTCGCGTTGATCGCTGTCGTTCTGCCCAAGCGAAGAAAACGTGGTGGGATCGGACGTTGCATTGGGTAAGAAGAGCGGAGGGAGAGGAAATGTTCTTGTCCTTACGCTATATTGCTGCATGTGCCGGCCGGTGAGATGGCTAGATATCGGCGCCATGTCGACGCTGTAGATGTTTAAGTCTACCTAACCCCTCTGCGTTCCCTGGGCCCTGTGCTCCTCCTCCTCCTCCTCCTGCCCCACCCTTCTGTTTTAGTACGACGCATCGTTCTAATTTGCTTTCTACCTTGGCTACTTTTGCGGTGGCTTGCTGGGTGCCGCGTGCGAGCGTTTCGACGTTTGTATAAGAGTATTTTGAACACAAGGTACTCTTGGTGGTGTGTCGCGTTCGCTTCGCCCGTTAGCTCGTTGCGAAGATGGAAGATTCGACTAGGATTGGAGATGATAAGAAGGTGGTGCAGGAGCAGGAACGGGAGCAGGATCACGATGTCGAACAGCAAGATGCATACGGCGAGACGAGGAGTTTGGGTAAAGACGATATTTTACAGCTCGAGCATACGGATCCGGTGCTGAATGCAAAGATGCATTTGGTTAATAATGCTATCGACGAGGTGAGCTTTGACTTTTCTGGGGGTGGGGAGAGTCTAGTCGTGCGTAACTGATCCGTTGGGTGTTTGCAGATTGGGTTTACGACGTATCAATGGAAGGTATCACTTGAGTTTCCACGAGCACTTGGACGTATATCTAATCTCATTTAGCTCTTCGTCTTGAATGGTTTCGGGTACGCTGTCGATTCGCTCATCCTACTTATACAATCCGTCATCGCTGCCCAGGCCACCCTCGAGTTCAATCCTTCCTACCAAAACGGGTTGACTATCGCTGCGTATGTTGGTATGCTCACGGGCGCTTTATTCTGGGGCCTATCTGCCGATATCATCGGGCGAAAGACGGCTTTTAACGTTAGTTTGCTGATCTGCTCCATCTTTGCGATTGGTATGTTTCAATTGTACAACATGTTTGTGAGACATGAACTAATTCCGTACGTGCATCTTTGCAGTGGCTGGTGCAAGTCCCAATTGGGAGGTCTTGGGCCTGTTTGTATGCTTGAGTTCTTTTGGAGCTGGGGGGAACCTGGTGCTAGATACCGCCGTCTTTCTAGAGTATCTGCCTAGTTATAGGCAGTGGATGCTGACACTCATGGCGGCTTGGTGGGGTATGTAACACCTTACTTTCGGTCGATCAGAGTGCAGCAACAAGGCCATCAAGCATACTGCATACTAACTAGCCCACACAGGCATCGGCCAACTCGTCGCTGGTTTCTTCGCTTGGGCTTTCCTCCCAAACTTCAGCTGCGCAGATCCATCCATTGATCCAACGGCCGGACCTTGTACAAAGTCCAACAACCAAGGCTGGCGCTACGTCTGGTACGCTTCCGGCTCCTTAGTCTTCGTCATGTCCATCCTCCGCATAACCGTCATCCGACTGAAGGAGACGCCCAAGTTCCTTGTCAGCGAAGGAAAAGACGCAGAATGCGTCGAGACTCTCCACTTCATCGCAACAAAGTACAACCGCCCTTGCAGTCTCACACTCACCCAGATGCAAGACTGCGGCACGGTAGATCGCGTCGCAACACGGGGAAACAAGAGTAAATGGGGTTTTGGAGAAATCGCCATGCACCTACGCGGTCTTTACTCGACGCGAAGAATCGGTATCTCAACGTCTTTAATCTGGCTCTCCTGGACACTGATTGGTCTCGCTTACCCGCTCTACAACGTCTTTCTCCCCGCTTACCTTCGCTCCCGCGGCGCCGCTTTTGGTGAGCCCTCGCCCTCTATTACCTGGCGCAACTACACGCTCGTCAATTTCAGCGGTATCTGGGGTCCCGTGCTAGCTGGTTACATGTGCCATACGCGTCTTGGTCGGAAGTATACAATGGTCATTGGCGCGTTGGTTACTATGGCCTTTTTCTTTGCGTATACGCAGGTCCGTACTGCGGTGCAGAATGTGGCGTTTACGTGTATCATCAACTTTTGTCTGAATATTTATTACGGAACGCTGTATGCGTATACGCCGGAGGTGCTACCGAGCGCGCACAGGGGTACCGGCAATGGGATTGCGATTGGGTGGAATCGTGTCATGGGGATCTTGAGTGCGGTTATTGCAACGGTTGCTGATGTAAGTCTTCTCTCTTTGTTTTCCCTTGTTAACCTTTCTCTTTCTTCTATTAGATGCTTGGTACGAGGGTCTTGGGGTTTTTGTAGCTAACGTGGGAGGTCAGACTGGAACTGCCGTTCCGATATACATTTGTGCGGCGTTGTATATCTTTATGGCGGTGATTGCGGCGATTTTCCCATTCGAACCGTATGGCAGGAGAAGTTCGTAGGGAGTACGGATAGGTAGTCGTCAACTACGCTTTGGGTTGCACTATCTCAACCCGAAGCACTGGGAGCAATCACGTGGAAGAGATGCATTGCATGTATCGGCGAAATTACATTGACGCCAGTTCGTGAATACCTCAAAAACGTTTACCGTCTGTTGATGCTACCCAAGCCCATACCAAGTTGACAAAGTACCCTATCCTACCATGCGTATTCAGACATTAGGCATGTTTCTTTTCTTCATCTTTCAAACTGTTGTGATGCATATGCTCGGCACCCAAACCAGCTCCATCCGCTGCGACGTGGGCTACGGCCTTAACTGCCAGGTCATCTGCCACGGTGACGACTCCATGTTGTATCCCTTCTGCCAACAAAACTTCAGCACCCCAGCCTCCAACGCCCAGCGTGGCGATCCCCACAGCGCCACTGAACATTGCGGATCCCATTACATCCCGTTTGCGAGTCCTGTGCTGCTCTTGGTAGCGACAAAGATGTCGATCGATGATGTCGCGTTTCTTTCGGGCATTATGTATGCCTGCACCTCCAATCAAGACTCCGATCCCGCTAATACCGAATGTGAAAGGTACTGCAAGGCTGGAGATAGTGGTTGAGGTGGCCGATCCGGTGATCAGACGTGTATAGTGGTTCCATTCACGTTGCAGCTCTTCCAACGACATTTGAGAGCATTCTGCATCATACTCATCGAAATTGAATGGCATTGCTGTAAAATGAGGTAGGTGGACTCTGGAAGTAAGAATGAGAAGAGTTTTAGAATAGCGCTCGTCGTGAGAGGCTGGATCTATTCGACGATGACCAATATACGATCCTGCTTTATACAATTTGATTCTCGCTGTATTCAGTATCTAACATCAGTCTACTCACATGGCGCGCAGGCTGTGGCCTTCAGCCTCTGTGTAGCGAGACTTGCACCATATGCGCAGCTGGGGCTGAGGTCAGCTTCTTTTATTTGTTCGGTTCTCGCAATAAATCTGAACCACAACCAGAAGCTTCAATATGTGACCTATCATATCAAAGCTCTCAGCATAGCCTCTGTGTCGAAATAGTCAACTCCACAGGCGAACATTATAGTGGCCTCACGGTGCATTAGGCAGAACTGAGATATGGATGTCAGCTGAATCGAAAATAGCAAGTCGCTGGCCTCTTCTCCCATGGTCTTATGGCCAACGACTAGAAATGTTTGATCATGAATTGGTTTCTGTGATTTTGAGACTCTTATGAGGGCTACCCAGCCTTAACCTGGAAAGTAATATGGTTCATCGAAGTGTTTGAGTAAGAGATGTTCGTGATCGATGGTAGACGCTGAGGCTGGAAGAGCACATGACCGAAACAAAAGCAAAAACAACTAAGCGAGATGATACGTAAATGCATTACCAATGAGCTGAACATTCCATCTTTGGGAGGATTACTATTTTAGGCTCCAGGACTTGCCATTGATGAAGTACATGACCTAGTGCAGTCTCGCTCTGCTCTCAACGAGCGATCGAGCGGTTTAGCAGAAGGTATCCACATGTCTGCGCTTTCTTACTTTAGAGTCGGGCTTAGAACCTTGGATATGGTGTTTCTAGCTTCAGCACCGCATGCCGTACGTTTCCGTTTTCGCAAGCCAGAAGTGCCGTACTGGTCCTTGGACTCACACGGATATTCCTTTTTGTACAGCTCTTATTACTCATCCTCTTGTTCACCTTTGCACCTTATTTCAGTTTGCCGAAAAAGCCTTCGCTATATCCTGGAGGCATGCATCGTTTCTTCCATCGACACCGGTAGCCACAGGAGATGTTGTACACCTTCATGCTGCAGTATACCATCGCACGACAAATTACAAACTCACCCAGAATTCGGGACGCGCGATCAGAACAGCCGGGTCAACGCATGCTGCAATGCACCGATATTAGGTCTCCGAACTAAGCTTACAACCAGCTTTCCCAAGACCGAGTCTGGGACGAGGGAATGGCTCTTTGGGAGCACTTTCCGGACTCACTTGGCCTCCCCCAAAATGCGACGTTGGGCGTAGTCAGTGGGTGAGGGGTGAATATAGGCTTGAGGGTATAAGAAGCACGAGTGTACCAAGCCACCCACTATGTCATTACGCTAGCTAGTTTTACCAGTATCCCTTTCCACACACGCTGATAGATGCGCTATGGTATCTGCAATAGAAGGGCAGCTCAGTAACTCCTCAACACTCATATGATAACCCCTCTTTGAGTATTCGGCAGCGAATGCGGCAGCGGCTACACTGTTACCCCAGATTTCATAGAAGGGGGTCTTGTCTGTGAATCCAGGATGTAACCTGAAGTCGGATCCCAATACTGACTCCCAAGCAGATAGCACTAGCTCCTCCGAAGCTTTGGGATATTCTGTTGCTGATATTGACGAATCTTCTACCGATTCTTCACGATGGGTGAAACCATCACGCGGTGCAACCATATTCAGCTGAGGAAGAGCTTCGGACAGTGGCCGCCCCAATGCATCAGGTAGCTGTTGGTATACCTTGATGAAATTGTCCAATACCGTCTTCACCCAATCTTCCGAGAAAGCCTTTGTGGAATACCTTAACTCAACTTCTAGCTTATCATCCCGAGCGAACGTTTGCAGCCACAAGTCCGATTTGTCATGCTCTGGCTCATAAACGCTGAATTCGCATTCACTAATCCCAGAGAACGGCGGCTTGACGAGCTCGAAGCTAAGATGGTTGACCACTGTAGAGAAGCGCGCCCACCGAGGCCAGTTGGTGCAATTCTCGATGATGCGGTAATGCCCAAGATGGCCATGCTGAAGTGACTTGAGGTAATCGGCCTGAACTGAGCTGAGGAGCGAAGAGGTCGACGCAGTTGACCTGACGTTGGTACGTAAAGGTAGAATGTTCATGCATGGTCCGAGGATGTCGGACACACCAGGCATGGGCAGATGTCTTCCAGAGGTTATGTATCCAAATACAACAGAGTCTTTGTTGGTGAGTTTCGACAATACGATTGACCAGGAGGCAAGAACGGCGGTTGCGCTTGTGTGACCGGACGTCTTCAGGTCTACCAATGGAATTATTGCTTTGACGGCGCTGTTGATGGGGTAATCGACGCTGGGAGAGGCTTGAGGACGAATTTCGCTCATCGTGCTATTGGCCAGAGCCGCTTTCCAGAAGGATTCGGAATCCTTACTTCTTAGAGAAATCTCCGCGCAAAAGCTGGTGAAGGGAATAACTTCCAGTGTCTTATCAAGATATAATGCTTCCAATGATCGCCATAACTTGTCAAGACTCAGTGCGTCGTACTGAGCATGAGAAATTCGGAGGGCGAGTTGGTTTGTGTTTTCCGCAGGATTTTGTACCAAAGTAAAAGCCACTAAAGGATCACCGAGTTGAGTAGGTCGCTTCATGTCTTGCTCAATGGTGTTCTTGACAAGCTCATCCACGTTCTGACCGTCGTTCGCCTTGATAAGGGCGAAGTGGAATGGGTAAGCCTTTGGGCTCAGGATAACCTGAAAAGTCTTCCTTGACTTTGCGACAAAGACTGTTCGTAAGAGTGCGTGCCGCTCTATGAGCTGTCGGCAAGCGTACCGCAGCTTTCCAACATTCAGTGCTGTAGAAAACTTGAAGATCATGTAGTCATGCCAGCCATGAGACTTGAGCAGACCTTGGCCGATGCACCAAGCTTGCCAATCTGTTGCTAGAGCAATATCCTCGACATCTTCTTGTGCAATACTCGGGGCAATCTCACTTATTGTGTATGTCAATTCTTCGCTTTCTTGCTTGGTCGACTGGTCGATTACCCCGAAGCTGGCCGCTTTGCTCATAGTCTGAAGAGTCCGATGCTCGAGAATGTCTTCGATGGAAACACAAATATGCTGCGTTCGTGCTTCCGCGATTAACTTGATACAGTGCAAAGAATCGCCACCAAGATGGAAGAAGTCATCTTGCAATCCGATGTACTCCATGGGAAGACCTAATACGGTACTCCACAAACTTTGCATCGTCTTCTCTTGCAAAGTTACCGGGGAGGCCTTATCTAGGGAACCAGTGTGCTTTACCAGTTCAATCAGCTGCATGTCGGCAGCTTGTTTGCGCAAAAGCTTCCGATCCAGTTTTCCGGATGGGTTCAGTGGTCGTTCTTTTAGCTCCACAAACCCGCGAGGTACCATGTGATCCGGAAGTGTAGTCGCTAGTTTCTCTCTGAGCTGCTTAACCTCGTTGGGAAACTCCGCGGATAGGCCGTGAATGAAGGCAACAAGCATAGGCCCAGTACCGCTCATGGGCTCCACAATCTCCGCTGCAACTGTCACTCCTGGCGGTAGACAATCGAGCATGGACTTTTCCACCTCTCCTAGCTCGAAACGCTGCCCGTGCAACTTGACACGCGTGTCTTTCCTCCCCACGATCTGGACAACGCCATCCTCCACATACTTTGCCAGATCTCCGGTTCGAAACAATGTACGTGGTCTCTCTGCTCCCCTCTTTTCTGCCCAGGTCGGTGGCCCCACAATGAATGCCTTTGCATTAGCTTCCGGATCGTTTCGATACCCCTGACATAACGCTGGTCCTTCGAAAAGTAGCTCTCCTGTTTCTCCAATTGGCGCCAAGATGTTCGCATTGTCTTGATCCACAATCCAGGCACAACCTGTCATGAACTGCCGCGCTCTACATTTCTTTCCGCTGATGTCGATGGCATTGGCAATACCCACACCCTCTGTCATCCCAATGGCCTCCACAAGCGATAGCCGCGGTGCCCAGATATCAATGAGGCGCTGAGTAACAGGCTCACCACCCACAGTCAGAAACTGTAGACAAGACACCTCATCGGGTTTTAATAGGTTCAGCAACGTCGGCGTAAGAAATGTTCGCGTAATTTCCTTTCTGGTGATAAAGTTTGCTATACCGCCCATGCGCTCTCGCTCTGGTGGAAGGACCAGTAAACCACCGTTGCACAGCGTCTTCAATGTAGTGACCACGCTGGCAGCGAAAGCTTGGGAGGCAAAGTTGAGAACGCGGCTGTTGGCCGCATAACCATGACCATGGACCACATTTGAAACCGCACTGCTTTGCGTGTGCTGGACTACCTTGGGCAAGCCCGTGGACCCAGATGTGAAGCATACGTAGGCAAGATCGTCGGGTTGGCCAACAGGCAGATCAAATTTGTCGTTCGTTCCGACGTCAGAGCTACTACTGCATATCTCTGACACATTCGCCACCAACTTCATCCCACCCTCTGCAGGAAATCTGTCTTTGAACCTTCTCTCCACTAACATCACCCGGGGACTGATAGTGGCTAGACACGCATGTAATCGCTCCGTTGGATTGCCAGGATCAAGGGTCGTATATGCCATGCTCGCTTTCGACGCAGCCATCATGCAGACGATCAGCCAGATGGACTTGTCGAAACAGATTGGAACGATTTCATCGGCCGTGATGTCATCGAGCGTGATGCGGAGATGTCGAGCTAGACGCGTTGAGTAGTCGTCAAGTTGCGTATATGTTAGCGTGCCGTCTGGGGCGTCGACGGCGGGTGCATCAGGGGAGCGATTCACTTGTGCGGAGAACACTTGGGTGATCGGGAGGAGAGGTTTTGGCGGTAGTGAAGCATTCCAAGACCATATTTGGTCT